ATGCTGCAACTAGTCCTATAAAAGATGATCCGCATGTTGGTAATACATTAGATAATTCTGAGCCTTCTTCTACTTCCTTGTCTATATCACCTATTGATGTTGCATCTGATATTATTGAGTCTACAAATGAGCATGTTGTCCCATCCTCGAGTCATCTTATTTAGGTAAGAAACCTTCCCAACTACCTTCGTGATTATCATTGTTTACATGAACCTCAATCCTGTAAAGAGGCCTCTTCTAACCCTTTTTGGCAATAAGCTATGCAAGATGAATTACAAGCTCTTAAGAACACTTGTACATGGGATTTAGTTGATCTCTCTGCTGAAAAGTCTCTAATGGGCTATAAATGGGTGTACAAGATCAAAACACGATCTGATGGTTCTATGGAGCATTATAAGGCACGCTTGGTTGCCAAGGCTTTTACACAAGAGTATGGAATAAACTATGAGGAAACATTTGCTCCAGTTGCTTGTCTCACATCTGTGTGCAGTTTGCTTGCTATCATTGCTATATGGAGATGGAAATTGTTTTAGATGGATGTGAAAAATGCTTTTCTTAATGGTGACCTAGAAGAAGAAGTTTATATGAAACCACTTCCTTGGCTCAACCATCCTCCAAACAAGGTATGCCGATTGCGACGTGCATTATACGGGTTGAAGCAATCACGTTAAGCTTGGTATGCAAAGTTTAGTGTTATTGTGAGTGAGTTTGGTTTTACTTCCAGTCCATATGATACAACTCTATTCATTCGTAAAACTACGTGGGGTATGGTTCTTTTCCTTCTTTATGTTGACGACATGATTATTACTGTAGATGATGTCGCATGTGTTAAGGAGCTAAAACAATCTCTCAGTCAGAAATTTCAGATGAAAGATCTTGGTGTTCTGAGCTATTTTCTGAGGCTTGAAGTTACCTCTTCGATGATTGCTACCTACTTTCTCAAGTAAAGTATGCCTCTGATCTTGTTTCTAAGTTGAACCTAACGATGGTAAGAGTGTTTCTACACCTATTGAACCTAATGTCAAGCTTACACCTATGGATGGCTCTCCCCTTTTTGATCCTACTCGTTATCGGCAATTGGTTGGTAGTCTAGTTTATTTTACCACGACACGCCATGATATAGTATATGCAATTCACATTGTTAGTTAGTTTATAGCTGCTTCTCGCTCCACTCATTATGCAACAATACTTTGCATTATTTGCTATGTTAAGGGAACATTATTTCATGGACTCCATTTTTCTATCAACTCCTCCCCTGTGCTTCGTGCTTACTCTAATGCTGATTAGGCTGGTGATCTTTTTTATCATAGACCTACCACTGGTTACTGCCTTTTCCTTGGTAATTCTCTTATCTTTTGGTAGAAGTAAAAAACAAACTATTCCATCTCGCTCTATTACTAAAGCTGAGTATAAAGCTCTCGGTGATACCACATCAGAACTTCTTTCATTACGATGGCTTCTTGAAGATCTGGGCATTCCTCAACCTTCTTCTACTGATTTATACTGTGATAATCAAATTGCTATGTAGATTGCTCATAATGATGTCTTCTATGAACGCACTAAGCACATTGAGGTTGATTGTCACTTTGTTCGCCACCATGTTGCACAAGAAACCATTCATTTGGTTTTCATTGGCTCCGTTGATCAACCAGCAAACCTCTTTACCAAGGCTCATTTTCTCGAATGCTTTCATACTCTTCTTTCCAAACTCAAGTTGGTTTCATTACAACCACCTTGAGTTTGAGGGGGGATGTTATGATGTGAACACAATTATGTTTAGAATTATTATAAATATTTTATATTTTAGAATATTCTTTTTGTATATTTTATACTTTAGAA